CTAAAGAGACATCGTCACTAATCAGAATCGTGTCTAATGATATGATCGATGTGAAAAAATTTAGGGTGTTCTGTGACCAGGGTGCTAGTGAAACGTGTGTCTGTGAGGAGCAGCTTCCTGCAGATGAATGGACAAGGCCTGTGTGCATGGGCAAGAAGGTTTCTCCAGAGAGCCATGCAGCTGAGCTTGGACTACAGAAGCCTCTATCTCTATAATCGCAGGAAGCAGCCATTCCTCGCTACATGGGCACTGGATATTCCAAATGCCATGTTTTAGGAGCTATTTCGAGGGAAATATTACACTTTCAGGCATAGACACCTGGCAAAAAGAATGCAAAAAAAAAAAAGGGGGGGGGGAAGAAAAAGACGGTTGGTGGAGATAATTAGAATTATTGCCAATGGAAAAGAGAAGACCCCACTGCCAGTTCCCCCCAACCCCAAGGCCTTGAAATGTCACTGAGTAAAACGTGACCATTCATTCCTCCATTGCTCCGCAGCACTGTCTTTGATGTCAATCAACTGTCTGTACATGTGTAGATTTGTTTCGAATCTCCTTATTCTGGTCCATTAATCCATTTGTACTTGTGCTATATTATATCATTTGAAATATTCTACCCTCAAAATAATTCCTGGTATCAAGCAGAAGGAGTTCTCCTGCTTTATTTTCAAAGATACCTTGACTATTCCTCACTGTTTTCATTTTCATGTAAGTTTTAGAACAAGCTTGGAAAATCACACTCCCACATCAGCACACAGATGCAAACATATCCGCGTAGTCTGCTGGTATGCGTTCGACTGTTTTCCGATGTCTCATGTAACTCTGTGCTATGATTGCTTTGCTTTTATCTCTCAGTGTTTGAATACAGATATTTAATGTTGATCTGTTTTTGAGTTCATTAATTCTATTTGCCTCTGTGTTTAATCTTCTATTAAACCTACCCACTAAGTTCTTTTTCATATTTTAGTTATTGTATTTTCTGTAATCTGAATATTGTATAACTTCAATGTTTCTATGTTGAAATCCTAACTCCTAAATGAAGGTATTAGGAGGTGCAGCTTTGGGGAGAGTTATGAGGTGATGAGTGATCTAGTCTCTTAAAGGGTTAGTAACCCTATAAATTAGGCCCAAAGGAGCCTGTTCACTCCTCTAATACATGAAGACACAGCTACAAGGTGTCATCTAAGAGGAACAACCCCTTGCCAGACATGGACTCTGCAGGTGCCTTGATCTTGGACTTTCCAGCTTCCAGGATTAAGAAAATAAATGCTTGTTGTTTACAAGACACTCAATTTATGTTATTCTGTGATTGCAATGCAAATGGACTAAGACAGTATTGGACAGTTCTAAAATGCCCATCTCACTCCTTTTATATACTTTATTTTTTAACATTCTCCATGTTTTAATTCATTTTTCTTCTTTTCTCCATCATCTTTAACTTAGTGTATTTTGAAGTCCTCTTTCTGATTAATCTAATATCTGGATTATGCTGAGTCTGCTTCTATTGACTGTTTGGTCCCTTCATGACCAAACACTTTTTTTCTGATTCTTTGTGTAATGATTTCAGACTATGTATACGAATCCATGTATGAGCCCTTGTAGATGCTAAAGTTTAGTTTGTGCTTTTTCAGTTTGGGTTGTGGTTTCCTAAAGGGAGCTTTAGATTTTAATTCTGTTGTTAGATTACCAGCAGGTCACCTTTGAAGCTTAGTTTCAGCTTAATGACAATAGATCTATATCCACCTTGCCTTTCCTCCTAAGACACAGCACTCTCAGTTGTGTTCAGTGCAGGGTTGCACTGCTGGGTCACGGCTGCCTTTCCTCTGAAGACGCAGCACTCAGGGTAGTGTACAGTGCTGGAATGCACTGCTGAGTTATGGCTGTCTTTCCTCTGAGGGCACAGCACTCAGGGTTGCATACAGTGATGGAATGCACTGCTGGGTCACGGCTGCCTTTCCTCTGAAGACGCAGCACTCAGGGTAGTGTACGGTGCTGAAATGCACTGCTGGGTCACGGCTGCCTTTCCTCTGAAGACGCAGCACTCAGGGTAGTGTACGGTGCTGAAATGCACTGCTGGGTCATGGCTGCCTTTCCTCTGAAGACGCAGCACTCAGGGTAGTGTACGGTGCTGAAATGCACTGCTGGGTCACGGCTGCCTTTCCTCTGAAGACGCAGCACTCGGTAGTGTACGGTGCTGAAATGCACTGCTGAGTTATGGCTGTCTTTCCTCTGAGGGCACAGCACTCAGGGTTGCATACAGTGATGGAATGCACTGCTGGGTCACGGCTGCCTTTCCTCTGAAGATGCAGCACTCAGTGTTGCATTTGGTGCAGGGCTGTTCTGCTGGGTCACAGCCTTCCTATAGTCTCAACTCCATAACCCTTCCACCCTGGCCAGGCACATCCTAATGTTTCTCCAGGACAGAGATGCCTGCTCAGTTCTCAGCCTCCCATTTGTGGTTTCCTTGCAGTTCCTTTGGAGTCTAGCCTGCACTTTGTGTTAGTCAAAGTCCCCCAAATTGAGTTTTAAGAAGGTCTATCATAGCGCCTGCTCTTCTGGTAGCCTCCCCTGAGCTGTCACAGTCACCTTAGCATTCTTCATCTTTATTCCCTGTGGATGTCTCCCTGTGAGATCACTTCTCTCTGCTGGGGCTCTGTCTTCTGCCCCAAGACTTTGGAAGGTGCCCTCAGGGAGAATGCCGGCGTAAATGTAAGGTCCCTCCTGTGCTCCACTTCTCTGAAATCCTCACAGCCCTGGCCCTGCACTGGTATCATTCGATAACTGCTGACACTTGTCTTACAAAGTTTCTCTCATTTCATTTTATTTTGTGTTTATTGTCACAAAGTAAATCTAATACAGATGTACCTGGAGGTCCATGCACTTATTTAGATATTAGGAATATGTTAGAGATGCAGAAGAGGGTAAGGTATTTGTAACTGTAACACTCAAACGGGGTGTGTGTGTGTATGTGTTTACTTTTGGTCAGCACACATAGTATTAAAAATGGTAAATAACATAAATTAATAAAAGATATTCAAATGGCCACTGATCTCAGGAAAGAAGGAGCACCTTTTTTTTTTTCATTTTTTCTAATCGACTATCAGAGCTTAGAGAGATTACAAAGTCCACTGATGATGAGGGTGAGGGATCAGTGGGGAATAGCCATTTATAGAGCTTATATGTAGAAATTAGGGCAATCTTTTTGGAAGACTGTTAGACAAAATGTATCAGATTTTCTAAAAGTGTAAATACTGTTATCCAAGCAATTCAGTTTCTAGGAATTTTCATAAAGAGCTTATTAATCATGGCTTCGAGACCAGAGCTTGTAAAGATGTTCATCTCACTGTTGTTTACATAGAAAAAAACATGAACACGAGCTAGTGATTTACTAGATGATGACATGTACATCTTATGGTCGTTAAAAATTATTCAACATAGGAGAGTGTCCACTTGTTAAGTGAAAATCTATAAAATAAATTATGATCTCCGTCTTGAGGAAGGAAATATGTATGAAAGAATAGTTGGTGATTTTATTTGATTTTTCTGTGTGCCTCCACTATTTCTATAATAAATATTAAGAGTTTCAAATTAGTAAAAATAAGGTCATTTTTATCTTTAGAAACTTTTAAATGCCAAATTAAAAATATAAGTATGAATTCTACACATTTTGACAGAGAAAATAATAAATTTCTTTTAGTTTGATAGCAAATATCTTTTTTTTCAGATATCATAAACTTTTTTTTTTTTTAATTTTTTATTGGATTTTAGGTCTTGGGGTACATGAGCAGAGCATGCAAGACAGTTGCGTAGGTACACACATGGCAGTGTGCTTTGCTTTTCTTCTCCCCTTCACCCACATTTGGCATTTCTCCCCAGGCTATCCCTCCCCACCTCCCCCTCCCACTGGCCCTCCCCTTTTCCCCCCAATAGACCCCAGTGTTTAGTACTCCCCTTTCTGTGTCCATGTGTTCTCATTTTTCATCACCCACCTATGAGTGAGAATATGCGGTGTTTCATTTTCTGTTCTTGTGTCAGTTTGCTGAGGATGATGTTCTCCAGCACTGTTTACAATAGCAAAGACCTGGAATCAATCCAAATGCCCATTGATAATAGACTGGATTGGAAAAATGTGGCACATATACACCATGGAATATTATGCAGCAATCAGAAATGATGAGTTCGTGTTGCAAATATCTTTTAAACTTGGCTTCCATCTGTTGCCCTGTTGGTTAATTCTTCTTTTGCTGCTATGGGAAGTGGATGGGGATCATATTATCAATGCAAGTGTTCCTTGAGCTATTTCAATAATAAATGAACAAATTAACTTATTTTTAATTTGGAAAATTATTTTATATTAGTGTTTTAGATTTGCAATATCATTTGTCATTCAGCTAAGCTTTTATTAAATTTACCAAATGTAAAATTTTTTAAAGCTTGATGATATAAAATGTTTTAAAGTTTCATAGATCTCTATACGTTTTGTCCTACTGAAAACAAGTCAGTTAAATCTGTCCCATTTCCACTCCTGATGGTATTTTTCTAATCCTTGCTTTCTGCTTAGGTATAAATTCAGTAGCTTAAATTCAAGCCACCAAGGGTTAGGATAAATGCATATTCCACTGCATGATATATGAAAACAGCATGTGAGAACGGTCTACAGAAAGGAGTGTCTATACTCGAAAATTGACAGAAATTATTTGAGTTTGGGACGCACACATGGAGATTTTTCTTCTAAGGCCATTTTGATTAATCTAATCCACCACGACAAATCCACAATTCAATCTGAGAGGTGAGGGTGCCGGGAGGTGCCCTTTACTATCCCCCAAGGGGGAAGATGTGTGTAAGTAAGAGATGAAAACATGGCAAGCCTAAGTGGTGATAAGAATCTGAACTGTGGCTGGCATGATAATGCAGGAGTGACGGTTCTGGGAGAAGAGCAGGGTGCCCTGCACTTGCGCTGCGTGTGCAGGGGGGACGGATGGAAACCAGCTTTCCACACTCACCATGCTTTCTCCAGCGTCGGAAAGGGAACGGAGCTTCTGCTTGCTCTGATTACACCCCCAGATCATACCTGCAGAGATTTATTTATTACACAGAAATTGTTTTTATCTAAACAATTAAGCTCTTCGGTGTTCTTACACTATTCCCCTCAAAAGTATTTCAAATTTCCAAAATGCAATTGTTTCAATTTGTGGAAGAAAAAGAAGAGAGAGTTAAAGAAGAGCATACATTAAATGTAGATTCACTGAGCAAATATAAATTGTTTTTCTCTAATTTTCCGGTTGATTAAGTTTGATTGTCCATGGGTCATCTTAAATAGTTATTTTCTCTGCTTGTTCTAAAGTCTCCTCAGCTTTTATCCACCCAGCCATCCAGCCAGCCATCCACCCATCCACCCATTCACCCATTCACCCACCCATTCAGCCAGTCAGCCACCCAACCACCCACTCATCTACCTATCCAGCCATTCACTTGTCCACCCATCCACTATCCACCCAACCATCCAGCCAGCCAGCCACCCATGCACCCAAACATCCATCCACCCATCCACCCACCCACTTCACTATTCAGCCACCCACCCACCCACCCCATCCAGCCATACGCTCATCCATTCATCCACTATCCACCCAACCATCCTTCCATCCAGACAGCCAGCCACCCATCCACCCATTCCTCCAACCACCCATCCACCCACTCTCAATCCATCCATCAATCAAGCACCCTCTATGATCAGGTGTTAATCTGGGTGTGCACACAGTAGTAAACTCTTGGGCTTTGAGGTTTGTGAAGGTGCAGATATTACACACGTAAGTTCACACAGAGAGGTCACAATAGCGATAAACATTGTGAAAGAAACTGTAGGGCATTATGAAGTCACCATATAAAATCTAGAGAGAATCAGAGACCGGGTTAAGGTTGCTCTGGGGTGAACAGGCAAGTGATATCAAAGCTGGGCCCTGGAGAGCAGGAGGCAGAGTGCCCCAGGCAGAAGAAACAGCGAGGGATGCCCTGTGGCCGAGAAGGTTAACATTCTTAAGGAACTGAAGGAAGGCACCTCTGCCGAAGGCCAGGACACAGTGAGTACCGACGCAGTGGAAAAGGATCACAGGTGCAGGGTAGCCAGGCTGGATCCCTTGCATCTGGTCCTCTGTGGAAAGTTCTTCAATTTTTTGAAAGTGAAGTGAAAAGCAACTGAAGAATGCAATGTATTGGAACAATGCCTTTGAATTTTAATTTCTGCAACATCTAAAAAATTAATCCTGCTTCCACAAAAATATATCCTAAAGGGAGACAAGGTCAATGTGAGAAGATGAGCTAGATGAGAGAGGAAGGTGGGAGGATGCTGAGACAGAGCAGAGTCCCTAGAGACTGAGGGTTGGGTCCCTTGTCACAGGGATCCAGGGGATGTCAGGACAAAGATACAGGGAGCTTTCAAAGATGGCTTCCTGGGCCTGACCCATGCAATGGGTTCTGGAGAAGGCTATTCAGAGAGACAGGCAAAGCTGGGGGCGGGGACAGAGAAAGAGTTCAGTTCTGAACACGTGATGTTTGAAATGCTGAGAGAAAACATATCTAAGTCAAAGTGCACCTGCAGTATAGACAACAATCCCATAGTTAAAATAAAACAAAGAGTCTGGCTGGAGAGCACATGTAGTATTAAGTGACAACCTTTATTGAATATGCTTGAGTGTCTTAAATCATAATAAATCATAATGCTATTACTTCACCTCATTCACCAAGAGGTAAAAAGTATATATCAGATGCATGGACTTCTATTGTTTCCTGGAAAAGTCAACTAGGATAAATTTTTCCTAAAGCTTAAACTAAAATCAGTCTCTAAAGGACAGGAGGACCTCAAGGAGGCCTTGAGGGGACCACAGAGCCTCCCCCTCCCCCACGTGGACACCTGCAGTCAGCTCTCAGTTCTGAGCTTGAGGGGACCTCCCGACAGGCATCCAGCTTCTAGTCTCATTGTATTGTGTGCATCCTCATCCTCATAGATGTAGCTAAATTTCTTTGTATTTAGCTAACTATATAATTTATAAATGGAAAAAATAAAAATGTCCATTTTTACGTGAAATCTCCCATTTGAAAAGTTCGAGTCAGTAAGTTACTAGTCTGTATTGTTCACTTGGCACATAGCTTAGAGATCAGAGCTGATTTAATCAAAAACACTGATGTGGAGGCCCTGGAGCCATCAGAGGCAACGTGATTCCACAACTCATGGCATGGGTTTTCTACAGGAAGTGTTTTTTTTTATTTCTTATATTTCTGAAACAAGTTGATCCTCCCACCACCCCTGATGAACAGCTTTTCACTAAAGAAAGGTGGGATAGAGAAGGAGCATTGTTAATCACTGGCTCCAAGCCAGGGCCAGGCATCAGTCATTCCTGTGCTGGGAGCTGTCGTGCAACAGGAATGGGTGGTGAGCAAGCAAGTACCCCAGCCCTGGGATTTCTGCAAGAGGAAGACACTGGCAGAGTGATATGGTTTGGCTGTAACCCCACCCAAATCTCCCCTTGAATTGTAAGAATCCCCACATGTCAAGGGTGGGGCCAGGTGGAAATCACTGAATAATGGGGGTGGTTTTCCTCATACTAATCTTGTGATAGTGAATAGGTCTCATGAGATCTGATGGTTTTATAAAGGGCCATTCCTCTGCACATGCTCTGTTGCCTGCCACCATGTAAGATGTGCCTCTGCTCTTCCTTCACCTTCCACCACGATTGGGAGGCCTCCCCAGCCATGTGAAGCTGTGAGTCCATTCAACCTCTTTATCTCTGTAAATTATCTAGTCTAAGGTATGTCTTAATTAGCAGTGTGAGAACAGACTAATACAGAGAGCAACAGACATGTGGGATGGGAGGCTGAGGTCTTCCTCATATGTTCTATGAACAAAAATAAAGCAGAGTTACATGTGGAAACTGGCAGGGTGGTGGCTAGTCGTGATGGTCAGGGCAGAAGACACAAGTGGACAGAGTCCTGGGGAGTCCTGGGAGAAAAGGCAGGGAAGGCTTCAGCAGCTGGGCAGCTGGCATGATGTTGGAGACGTTGGGGTGTGGCCACCTGAGGATCTTCTAGAAAAGTGGATAGAGAATGCCTTTATCAGGTATGCTGAGCTGAGTGGAGAATCAGTTCATCAGAGGCTGGGGAATAAAGGAAATGAAGGTAGTGGATTATGCACATGGACTGTGAAGCCAACAAGAAGGAGGCCATTGTTGATTTAAGTGTGGTTCAAGGAGAACGTGAAGGGTCTCAGCATTGTTAAATAGAATACGTGTGCTGAAAGAAGCTTGGAAACTATGAGAAGAAACTGCAGAATCCAACATGATAACCTTCATGAAAGAACAACGTCCACGTTTGCATCTCCGTTTTACCCATCTGAGTCAAGGCCTCACACTGAGGGTCTCACTGTGGCTGGAGTTAGGCCCCAGCTGGGGTTCCCCAGAGTGAAAAGAGACTACCTCACTCTTTGGGAGCAGTACTCTCAGAAACGGACTACACTCTTCCTTGTATTCTCAATAATTTGAATAGTCTATATTTTTTTATGGGTGGAATGTCTACTAATCATAAACTTTCATCTTAAAATCATTAACCCAAATTTCCTTATTAAAAAAAGTAATCAGAATTAGTTTCCCCCATGTTATGTTAAGAAGAACAAAAACATATGAACAGAATTAGCAGACCCTATTCGTGAAAAAATATTCTTTTTTTACGTAGTACAGAAAAAGTGTATGTAGCTTTATAGATGAGAAATTGTATACTTCACATGCTTTGTTACAAATATAAGTTGTACTTCCAGGGAATTTTCTCTGACTTTCTACTCAGCTTACTCAGTCCCACTCAGTCTTCAAGATTCAGTTGTACAGTTTCTTTTCAAGCCATGAAATGTATTTTAAGTATGTTCATTTTGAACAAAACAGCCAAAGAAATGCTTCCTTGCTAAGCATGAGGTAATCAGATGTTTTCATACCCAGGCAAGTTAAAATACATAATTACAAACAGCATCTTTCCCTTTAGCAGAAATCCCCTCTAATCTTGCCTAAACCACTTTTGCTCATCCAGCACATTCGGGGCTATTTAGAAACCAGTGAAACAGTCAGTAACTTACTTGTTTCTCAAACAAGGTGTAATTTAAAATACTGATCACATTGATTTTCTACTTTAAACAGAAGAAGAAACTTCACTGCTCATTTCAATGTAATTATGCATTTACAGTGAACTCCTCACACCGTGGCATTATAAAAAGGAGGGCATGTTTTAGTGCTATTGAATAGCCAGAAACTTTCCTCATTTACATCATTTTTTTTATTTGAAGATGCTGATTTTTTATTGAAAACTTCTGCAAAATATCAAGAAATGCAGCAGGAAACTGCTCACGTGAAGAACTGAAAGGCGTGGCTGCTCTGCATGTACCATAGTGCGGTGGCTATTCCCAACAGCTCCGCCACATTAGATCTGTTCATTTCCAAAGGTGAACATCAATGGCACATATGGCTACATGACATGGAAAATCTGCCCTTGAAAGAATCGGTCAGGACAATAACATTGACAATGTTTTTCCTTTAGATTCTGGACATGTTCTTACAGCTTATAATTAACAGAATGATAAACGGGAAGTTCATATTATTTAATCTATTTCATATATCATTGGTTCACGTTCTCATTTTAAGAATAGTCATGTACTCATTAAAATAGAATGTGAGTTCTTCATAGAACCATCGAGGGATCAGTGATACAGACACGTGAGCCCTCAGTGTTGTGGTGACAACAGACAGAGCATTCTGGTTAAGAGAGCAGATTAACTGTTCATGTTGGATAACACGGGCGTCTCACTTTTAGAGTAAACATTAAGCTTATTTAGTACCTTTAACAAGATGGTGCTGTTCTATTTTTACCAGTCTTTTTTTTACCTGAAATAGCAAAATTAAAATTACCTTTCATCTCATGTTTAATAGATCCACAGTTTTAAAACATTTGCTTACCCAAATGCAACAGCCCCCTGTGTGCCTTTCTGATTCTCTTCTTGAGCTAAATTATTTTTCACATTCTCTTTGAACAATGCTGTTGTCTCCAGGCCGACCTTTGAGGTCACACGCTCTGGTTGCGTCCGGTCTATCACTCAAGGGAAATAAAGTGATGAGCAGGCCCTGCTGTTTTCAGCCCATAGCCACTCCCTCCCCTCTCAAGTCTCTCTGAAATCTGAAACCCCTTTCACACTCAGTGTTAATGTTTGCTGAGTCTCATTTTCTTCCTAAAAGGCATACTGAGTACAGTTGTTTCTTCTATGAAAAATTGTCATTGTAACAGCTTCATCATCATCATCATCATCATCATCATCACGGTGTTTATTGGGAGGTTACCAAGTCCCAGGCAGACACTATGTATTTCACATGCAGTCTCTCTGTTACTCCTCACAATGACCCTGGAAGATTCTATTCCCTAGGTTATTCCTCACAATGACCCTGGAAGATTCTATTCTCTAGTTTATAAAGGAGGAAACAAGACTCAGAGAGGGTGAGTCACTTGCCTAAGCTCACAACTCTGGTAAATTCACAGCTAGCCTTTTTGAACCAGATTCACTCGACCCCATGACCTCTATTTTCCTACCCTGATGTACTAAATCTCCCAGGGGCACCTGTAATTTATGTGGGTGGGATGTAGCAACATAGGTCAGTACTTTAAAAAATAGTCGCCTTCTTTATTACACAGTTTTTTTGCCTAGTAGGCTCTCCTTAGGAGAACGGAGCTCCAAAACATTCAGAGTGTCAGTTCTCAGAGAGATGTGAAAAACCAAGCTGAGACATCCCCTTCGAATCATGTCATGCTAAGTGGACAGTCCCCCTCAGTCTCTTTATTTTATATGGGGGAAATGGTATGTCTGAAAAGGCAAGGGGCCTTTGCACTCTCCCTCGAGGAGCTAGAAGAGGACACTAGTGGATTTCAAGCCAGCTGTGAGCCCTGGAAAGTGTGCCAGTGTCTCACCAGATTCTCAAAGATTCTGTAGCCAACAATGGTCTCCAGGCTTCCCTGAGACTTGATGGCCTTAAGACACAGCAGGACAGGCTGGCTGGAGCTAGTTACTTTGCTTAAGGTCCTTCCAACCAGGAGTATGAGCTTATCAGTTGCGGAAGCAGGTCTTATTTGCCAACCTTCGCCCAACACGTCCACTCCAGAGGCAGGACATGGTTTCCTGTCACTTCAGGCCCAAGTCTGGGAGGCTCAGACAATCCGTTTTTTTTTGTCGTAAGTTCCAGGTGCTTCCAGAACCTTCTCAGAAGCTCAGGGCAGCCTCAGTTGATCTGAGAGTGGTTCTCTCTACAGACTGCAGCACAGATGCCTGGATTGAAGTCATGTTCATGGCAGGAAAATGCAGCATTTATCCTTAGAACTGCTGGGAATGAACCAACTGGTCATTGCAGTCAGCTCTAGAAGGAGCTTGAGTCCTTAGCTGCAGAGCCCAGCTCTGAGTGCCACTGCCCCATGGACAATCACCTTCTCCGTGATTGCAACCTAGCACAGTTGGCTTGGATGACCCAAAAGTGACTACCTCATTCTAAAATGCTATGATCTGCACAATTTAACCCAAAGCTCGAAGAATGCTTTCCCGTCAAAACTGTCTAAAGAGGACATTTACATGGCTCTCTTGGCCCCTCCGCTAGGCAGGCATGACTCTAGGACAGAGAAACAAGCAAGCCTGGGCCCCACTGCAGCCTTTCCTATCAGGCCTCCCGACTTTAAGATGTGTTCCCTAGCAATCCAGAAAAAGGGAGGAGCTTCTTGATTAGAGGCAGTTTTTGCCTTTAAAAAGACTTTTGTTTGCTTATTTTGTTTTGCTTATTTTGCTTTTTGTTTTGAGGACATAAGGAAGCCTCTGTTGGTTCCTGGTCTTCCCTTCACTCCCACCACCTCTGTCCCCTAGACCGGAAGTGTCTACACAGGCCCTGATGAAGACTGCAGCCATGGCCCATCCTGCTCTGCTTCTGCCATGCTCACAGCTTCTCAGCCAACACATCCTTCTGATTCTCCCTTCCAAATGCCTGATGTTTCCTTTTTTTTCTTTTTCTTTTTCTTTTCTTTTTTTTTTTTTTTTTTTGAGACGGAGTCTTGCTCTGTTGCCAGGCTGGAGTGCAGTGGCATGATCTCGGTTCACTGCAACCTCCACTTTCCAGGTTCAAGTGATTCTCCTGCCTCAGTCTCCTCAGTAGCGGGGATTACAGGCCCGTGCCATCGCCGGCTGATTTTCGTATATTTAGTAGAGACAGGGTTGCGCCATGTTGGTCAGGATGGTCTCCATCTTCTGACCTCATGCTCCTCCCACCTTGGCCTCTCCAAGTGCTGGGATTACAGGCGTGAGCCACCACTCCCAGCCGACGCCTTTTATTTCTTTAAACCCATGGGAGCTGCCTGCGGTAATGGCACTGGCTGCTCCATGACTGAAGCTCCTGAGTGAGGCTCCTCCAGTGACTTTGCTGGGCTCCCCACACCTGGGAAGAGTGTCAGTACTGGGGCATGTGCCAGGACTGGGACATACAGGATTGCAGGAACCCAGACTCAGCTTCCCATGCCCATCAGTGCCCGTTGGTGCTCTAGCTGAAACCTAGAGGCTGAAAGGTCCTGTGCATCTTCCTAAACATCCTCCCCTGTGTCCTGCCCAAACCCCAAATGCACTTTTCAGTCCGTTCACCTTCCTAGAAAATACTTCTTTGTCTTGTGACAGCTCTTGCCTCTCCGGAACCTTCTGTTGCTTTCCATCCTCTGGTGGGCGCCACCCTCATCCTGTAGGGCCCTCTTATTCCTCCACAGACATTGACAGAGCTTCATCAACACTTGACACAAAATGACCCTCCCTTCCTCTGCATTGCAGAAGGATTACCAGCCAAGACCGAGTCTATGTGAATTCTTTAAAAAATAATACACACACACACACACACACACACGCACACACACACATATATATATATATATATATATATATATATATCTTTTTTTTTTTTTTTGAGACTCGATTACCCAAGCTGAAGTGCAGTGGTGCAATCTCAGCTCACTGCAACCTCCGTGTCCCAGGCTCAAGCGATTTTCATGTCTCAGCCTTTAGAGTAGGTGCGACCATAGGTATGTACCACCTTGCCCCGTTCATTTCTGTCTTTTTAGTAGAGCAGGGTCTCACAGTGTTGCCCAGGCCAGACTCGGACTCCCAGCTCAAGCGATCCTCCCTCCATGGCCCCACAAAGTGCTGGGATTACAGCCACCGGGCCCAGCCTGTGCAAGTCGTTCCTAGCAGAGGATTTAGCGTGATGTAAAGCGTCGGTTAAAGCTCGTTACCATTCTTACTTTTGATGCTGCTGTAGTCACTGCTTTCTTTTTATTTCACATTGCTTTCCTTGGCTTCTTCTTCTTGTTGCTGGTTTGTTACTGGAAAAAAAAAATAGCTTATCTCTGTTATTATAAGTTAGTAACAAGAAAAGAAGCCAAGTGTCACACACACTCTCTGGTTAAGAGAAAAACGAACAGCACGTGAGTAAATTTAATAAAATGCACTCATGGCCCAATCATCCTGGAGATGCGCTAATTTCAATTCCATATATTTTATGTTGTTTAGGAGGAAGGAGTGAAACCTAGCATTATTAACTCCAGTTGAGAAAGAAGAGAGTTGAATAGATACAATTTCATTGCTTATGATTCAATTGTACTTTTATGCTAAAGTCAGCTAGATGGGAAAATGACTATATCTTTAGCCTCAGGAATAATGTGCCTACAATGAAACCAGCCGGGAAAGAGCTAATTGTCATTGGGACTTTTAAAGTGATGTTGAAAACCCAAGAGGCCAAAGTTGAATTTAGCATCACTGAAGAAAGCTTGAAAAAAAAAGCGAGGCCACAAATGGTCAGTATTTTATTTCATTCCTGTATTCTGCACATCTATAAAAAAATCATAGAGGAATTTTACATGGTAGATCAAAAATGAATGTTTCTTAAAACCACATATTCAAGAGCACGCAGATGAGACAGAAGCAGGTGACCCTCAGCCTTGCCTCCTTTCTCCTTCAGTTGACCGTGGAGCCACGAATCCACGGGGACCCAGAGCCTGTACAGAGACTCTCCTGCAGCCGGGTAAATTACATCACTGGTGCCGCCGTCAGTGGCAGACAGCGCTCACTGTATTCCACTGCTGTGTGCTGGCGCTGACGTGAAGCCATCGTGATGGTTTTGGAATCCAGATAAATACAATTGGAAGTGGTGATTCCATTTTAAAGAAGAAATATTCAAAATAGCACTTCACAGCAGGTGAAGGGCAGCGCATGGTTTCTGTAGAGGGTGGGCAAGGGAAGTCCGGGGGATGAGCAGGACTTGCAGAGTTGACTGTGATTTATAATCAGCATTAACCATACCATACACAGGGAGCTTCTGCCGGCAGAAAGAAAGAGTTAGAGCTGAGCTCTCTTATCCAAGGAATGTCATCATAAGAGGGTGAAATGATGAGAAATTGATGGAAGGTAGTTGGCTCCACAATGGAGAAAAATATCTCTATTCTGATGATGAATTCTCTCCAGCAATCTTGCAGAAGTACTGGTCGCTGTTGTAAATTTGCTTGAGAATGAGGAGAGAAAGTTTAAATGAGATTTCTAGTGATTTCTGGCCTCACCAAGGGCTGGAAAATGACAATTATTCAATGTAAGGGATTTTCACCTGGTTGGATGGCCTGGCAGCCTAAGGCAACCGGGGGTCACAGCCCCGTCCCAGAAAGTGCCCGTCCTAAATGCTGCTGATTATGCTTACACATGTGTTCCCGTGGCAAGCAATGAAGGCCACCAAGGACTGATCCTGGTTTCTGTTGAGGGTAAGAGAGGACAAAACGGCATTAAAACTCCTGGGAAGGTTTCAGGTAGGTAGATGTAAGTGATTTCACCAAGTAAAATTCCCATAGAAACTCTAAAAGTGTCTCAGTGTTTCCTGGACTTTGCTTTTCCTTTTTAGTGGTACCCGTAGATTTCCTTTTGATTGCATTTTGAAGCCCTGTAGTGTAGATAAGATGCAGAACTTCCAGCCCCTGATACACACAGAGGCATCTTGAACACCACACCTGGGCGGCTGGGTGCAAGGGGTGTGGAACAGTGACCTGCTGTCCATACACAGCACTGCAGCTGGGGACAAGGCCAGCCATGGGCCCATGGCTGAGATAGCAACACACCCTGAGGTCCTCCTTGCAAATGCATGCACATGGATACAACACATTTCTCCAATACACTGTAGATGTAGTTACTGGGATTTCTGTTTTCTTACCTCTGAAATCCTGTGCTGCTAATGCAGACTATTTTGCTCAAAACCAATGTTAGAAAGAAAATTCTCTCTGAAAAGGCCAATCAGTAAAGAGATATTAGTAGCCCTTTCCTCGGGTATGA